AAGACAGCACGTTTAAATTTTCTCTCGTCTTAACATAGTAGTGTATTGGAGAATGTTGATATATTGAAAAGTTATTATATTGTTAGTAGTGTTTTATATCTAATTGTACCAAATTTATTCTGTTGCGCCTCTTTTGTTGAATTCTTATGATTGTGCAGGCATAATCATTAGTATTTAAGGCTTGATCACCCTTAAAATATCAATTATAGATTCAACAACATTGTGCCTAACATATTTAAAATGATTAAAGGTGTTTTATTTTTCAAAATCTCTCTGTATGATGTGATTATAGTTGTCTTATAATATTTGTCATCATAAATGCTATTTATTAAGTGTAACTAGGAGTATGTTAAAATTGCAATTTTGCTTTATCATAAAGAATGTTTTCTTATTTTATTGTAACGGTTCTCTAATCTTTAGTCACCATGAAGGTGTGTTGAGATATTTTATTTATACGCCCTACTTTTATCTTGAAACTGTATTGTGTTATACTACATATTTATAGCATGAAACATGTTTTGCATGAAAATTTAGTATGTGAATTTTGTTTGTTGTATAGCATGAGAAGTATTGTATGTCATGATATATTTAATTTGGTCGAATGGTTAGATGCATATTTACTTTATTCTAAGGGTTTGTGCTGCTCCCTTTTATGTGCTAATTCAGAATGTTGGTAATATCTAGCTGCATTGCAAGTAGCATGAAATGATATATGTTAAACTATATTACATGGTACTAACTAAATTACTATAGCATGATATTCTGTTACTCTGCCTTTGAGGACTCACTGTTAATACATTTACCACCACAACTGTCTTATGTCTTGTAAGTTAATTTTGTTTACACATGATATTTCTGTGTTTGTGTATCCATATATCCTCTTAAATGCTGAATTCTATGCAAATAGAACAGAATGTAGGTTATGAACTATATGAACAATGTTCAAATTGTTTGACATCTCGGCTACTTTTTATGGACTGTGTAGTTATTTAACGCACACTTATTATCATTATGTGCCTAGTTCTTCAATATTTTGGACAAATTATGTGAATGTGCAATGATTATATCACTTATTACTGAGTACACATGTTAGAGACTGTGCCTGAATACTCAGTACGGTAATTATTTTAAACTTATAGACTTTTTGATATTATGGACTCTAATAATTTTCATGAACTTTTAAAATGAATGCTTCCATTACTGCGCGTGATGCACAGAAGACTATTGATTGAACTCTAATCATCTGTGCCAACAGTATAAAATTGGACTCTTTGCACAATTATTCATATACTTTGGTGTTAAACGATAACAATTTAACCAAGGTGATCTCCATGTTTTAAATATGTTAGAAATTGTATGTTTATTTATAAGCGCACCTAATTATGTTATTTGTCTGGTATTTGTATACTAAGCACTTTTTATTTATTATGTAAATAGCAATTTGTATGTAATATATATATTTTCAACCAGCACTTTAACATGCATTGGCATGAGTTGATATGAGGCTGCTTCTTAACAATGGGGATATTCTTCGTGCACATAGGAATTTTTTTTCTCTTTTTTTTTCCGAAGGAGGGGTGGATATGTGACGAGGTCACATTGAATTAATTATTTGCAACGTTATGGCAATATTTAGATGTTTGCATCAGATTCCTTTAGTGACAGTTTCATTTTTTTCGCCAACTTGTGTTGTTAGGTGAGGAACAGATTTCATCAAACAACTGTTGTAAGTGGAGGAAATTGCATCAGACAACTGTTTGCGGAAGAAAGTATTGCGTCAGACAACCAGCGTCTTCACTTCTGTTTGCTGGGTAGCTGAAGGTATTTTGGCGATTGGTTGCCTTCTGACGCTGGATCTTTTTCATTGGGCGTCAAAACTTAACTGTGGAACTTTATAAAAGGCGGTATTTTTTTGTCTACCAGAGGGACGAGAGGAGGAGATTGTGAAGGTGCGAGATGGAGATGCTGCATAGAGAAAGACGGTAAGAGTGGGAGTAAAACTGCAAACTTTGGGAATTTATCGTGCAAGCTTTCTTGGTCTCCCTAGTGTGTATGAAGGAAGCGAGTTTCTTTCTCTTTGATGATGTAGCTCCAAAATTTAAGCTAATCTCTTTTTTCCCCGGGCTTGGCATTTTCGCCGGCATCCCGATGAAGAGTACCTGCACGTGATTGAGCTGAAATATACCAAGTCTTCGAAGGGATCTGTGGAAGAATTGATATATCTTTTTTGTTCTGAGTGAGAAGGCCTCATATCGCCATGTGACACAACGGATTACAAAAAAACAAAAAAGTAATATCTCTTCAGTAGCATTGTTAGTACTCAATAAAGCAAGAATTAAATCTGTTTTCAAGTGTTTGTCACTTTCTCGTCACGGCGGGCTATAGACCTGGATCTTGCCTGGGGTAGTCCATATATTCTGTTTTCTAACTTGACTATACTTTGCCCCACAACCACTAAAAAAACATTACACACGCTTTCCTGGAATCAGTTCCGTAACCCTGGCTAAAGGCCAATTCAATCTCTTTTTGATATCATCTCCTATCAACACAACGTCATTCACTCGAATATTTGGAAATTGTGAATTTTGCTGTCGTTTCTGAATAAGTAGTCCTAAATATTCCTTTCGAAAACGTACTCGGAGATCTTCCATTAATTTTGCACGAAATCTGATTCTTTTCCTGAGATGATTGGTGTCTACTGTGTCTATATCAGTTACATCTAAATTGGATCTATCGGTCAAAAACATGGCAGGTGTAAGTGGAACTAAGTCTTCTGTATCTTCGGATAAATATGTCAAGGGTCGCGAATTTACTACCCTTTCACATTCGCACATAACTGTTTCCAGTTCTTCATAGGTAAGAACAGCTCTGCCCAATGTTCTCCTAAGGAGTTCTTTGACTACTCGAACAAGTCTTTCCCACCAGGCAGCAGTGGGGGGGGGATGAATTTCCATTCGATCTTCTGTATTTCTGTTTGTCGAGTTACTTTACTCCAATCAATTTCTAACAAATTATTATAAGCTTCCCTAAAGTTTGTACCATTGTCTGTATAAACCACTCTAGGTCTTCCCCTTCTAGCAACAAAATGTCTAAATGATAACAGAAAAGCATCAGTGGAAAGCAATGTTATTAACTCTAAATGAATTGCTCTATTAAGAGCACATGTGTAGAGAAACATCCATACTTTGTTCCCGTGTTTTACAAATAGGGGACCAGCCAAGTCAATACCAACTACTTCAAAAACTGCTGCATTTTTCACTCTATTAGCAGGTTAGGAAACTGGTTCAGTGATGAAAGATTTAGTTTTGTATCGTCGACATTTAATACAGTCCTTCAGAACACTACGTATCGGTCTTCTCCCTCTTGTAATCCAGTACTTTTCACGCAATATATTTAATAATATCTAGGTTCCCAGTCTTTAAGTAAAGATACATTTATCAGGAAGAAGAATAGGTGAAATGAAGAAAGGCTTATCTATGCCAGGGGTGTTTGTGGGACCCCAAAAAATCCCGTGAAACTTTTACGGACTTACTTTTTACCGACATTTTGGAGTTTCGAGAAGGGGGGAGAGAATGAAAATACATTATAAGTATTGAATGACCTAATTATAAAAGTTCAATGAATTACTTTTTTTTGCAAAATTAATAATAAATTTTCAAACATATAACTACTACATTTTATGTAAATATGTTAAATTACCTGAATTAATTCTTTAAAAAAATTATCTAATTTCTGCTCTTTTTTTATTTTCTGATGTTTGTGGCTTGTCTTTCTTTTGTGGTGGACTTCATAATTCAGGAAGGTTACTTTTATTTTCCTCATTTACTTGAAGAAATTTCCTTGAGAACTGCACATGAGAGGTAGAAGCAGTTTGCTTTTCTGCTATGTAGAAGTTTTTCAGAGACTTTTATAGGTGACTCATCTGAAATACGTGCTTTTAGTCCTCTTGATATGTTTTCCAACTTCTGTTCATATTCAGTAAGAGATCTTGTGAATTGGATCAGTCATTGTTTTTTGAGCCATATTTTCACATGAGGTTTCTTTAGAAGCCATTAAATCATATTTAATAGTCTGCAGTGCATCTTGGGAATCATCTTAAAGAGGTTCTATAGTCAATGACAAGTGTATTTATTAATTGAATGCACTTTCTACTAAGGGGCCATGGAAGCAGCTAAGGCAGGCTTTGACCAATTTAGCAATGTAGGATACTTATAATCATTTGTGAAATCATCTTTTTAAATTAAAAACTTTAGAATATTTATCATTGTACACTTGACTTGATTTCCACTTTCATCAGATTTGTAAGCATTTCTTTGGTGATATCAATATCACTCTGGTATAACCTTAAATCAGCTTCTACTTTTGACTTTTCATTATCACTAAATATGGAACATAAAGATGATAATTTTTCAAAGCTAATATTGTACTGGTTTTTACCTCTTAGCTCTGGATCTAAGGCTGTAAAACTAATTAGATATGAATTTTTAAGGGGTAATTTCTGTTCTATATGCTGTGCTGTATTTTAAAAGCTTCATCAGAGAAATTTGGAATTTTTTTTGCTATTGGATGATTTTTGATAATTTCTTCAGGGAGTGGAAGCTTCTGCCCATAAATATTACTTTGCTAGGTAGATGAATTCTGGATTTGTGACATCAACCTTCAATAAATCATTATAATATGTGCACTCTATTTTCTGGCTTCATAAAAAGAGAAAATTTTTGCCATCAATTTATAATACTGGAATGTATTAAATGAAGCTTGGTTTTTTTGTTTCAATAATTTAATATATGTGTTGAACTCTGGTAATACTGCTGAATATAATGCCATATTCATAAAGTTTGTTTTGCATAACAAATAACCCATTTGGTATTCTTTTTTTTCCGAGCTAAAGCATCCTTTGTTGGGAATGCAAAGCAAAATAACCTTAACAATTTTTTTCTGGCTGCAGAATATTTCTTTTATTGTATACATTTTCAACATAAGAAAAATAATCCCCTTTATCAGTTTATCCAAGTAGAAAATAAAATCATAAGAAGCATCCCACGGTCTTTGATTCTTTCTAAACACATAAATGTACACCCACCTTGTCTGGTTCTTCAGGGCTTAATTTTTTATGGCAGGATTCATGGATTTGAAAAAATTTTCTCTTTTACTGCACTTTTCTATCAAAATAGATGTCATCAACAAATCTTCTAAGTATCTATCAACATGAAGCAAATTTTTTTGCACATTTATTAGCTGTGTGACGTGTCACATCATATCTAATAAGTGGGGTGCTTTGTTTGATCTAGTCTGGTTCAACCCCTTTTTTTTCCACGCATGGTGTTACATGAGTCCATTAATCCAGTAATTAATTTGCTCTGGAATATTATTATCTTCAATAGTATTAACAACTGCTTTAAACAGCTTCTGAATTGCAAGATTCCATCTTTAGAGATGCAAAATGAACTACAACTTCATTTTGATGGTTGTATAAACTGCACCAATATTCCAGTATACTTCTTGAGCATTGCTAGTACTTTCATCCAAATTTAGAGAATAAAGTCTCCTTTAAAGTTTTAATGATATTTTCCTAATATTTTGCAAGCCCATTTCATCTTATAACATGCGGTAGTCCTGGACATTTCCAACGAGTTTAGTGCCGTCTGATCGCGGCTCAACTGTTTTGCAGAGTTCATTAAATTGGGAGCTACATTGAAGAAAAGAATTCTCGGCGATAAAAGCTATTAATACCTCTTGGCGTGCTTTTCTTGTCACTATATCCAACGGCCGAGTATCAGTCTCCAGTAAGTCATCATTATTTTTTGAATTAGCATAATTACTTAAAGTCATTGAATGTCTAATGCACTTTGAATATTTTATTGCGTCCATTTTGATGATTTGTGAAGCCTTGAATCCGTCCCACCAGACTTCACAGTGAGTTAAAAAAACAAATATGCTGTCCAGCAACATTTTTTTCTTGCACCATGGCCGATGTATCCCCATTCCCATCTCTCTCCGTTTAATCCATCCCCTATGCATTCCGGACACCTTCTTCTAATGTAAATAGCACTATTTATATCGAAAATTCCTAGGAAATCTCTTCGTACTAAATAAAATTCAATAAACGAACGAAAAATTTACACATGCTCAATAATGAACAAATTTTACACAGTGGGGAAAAAATTGAGAGCGATCAATGACAATAGCTAATACGGCGAAAATCCCCTTCTCTACTATTGGCGCCACGCCATGAGAGATAAACCTTTGAAAACCAGAGTCACGTGTCGCACATCTGGTCGACGAAGTCCTCCCTTTTTTTCTCCCGCCTACTTGCCGAAAGAACCAAAGAGAACGTCCGAGAAGGGGGGAATGAGTCAGAACTCGCAATAGTAAGAACAAAAAAGAAGTTTTTTCCCTCCTTTTCACACATTATCACTGCCTTTGGGAAAGAAAGAAAGTTTCACCACACACACTGACCTTGCTTTTCTGCTTTCAAGCAACAACTTACCAGATCAAAATAATAATCATATTATTCCTACTTCCTTTTGAAACGACGATCCCCGGAGTTTCCGGGATCGAAGTTAAAACCCCGAATCGGGGTTTCCCCGAGCACAAACCCCCGGCTATGCTTCATAATTCGAGTTTTAACTTGATAATTCCGTCACTCTTGAAAACACACAAGTTTCAGTAGGAAAAAATTGAGCTTGCACATTACAAATAAGCAGAATTTCAGCATTTTCAATCTCCTGCATTAGAAGTTCTCCCCCCCCCGTCTAGTATCATGACGCGATCTTATATTACTGATAAATCTCAATATCCACGCAACCATTCTAACTATTGAATGGAAATTCGAGAATTTAATGGCATACCACGGGACTTGCTCTTCTGACAAATTAATATTACATAACCTAACTTTTCTCCTTTGAAATGTTATTTCGGGTGTTTCTATTGTCAATATCTCGGTATCAGGGCAGTTGTCTGGTGTTTGCAACAACAAAGCCGGGCCTTTCCACCAGCAGGATTCTAAAAATTTCTTAGGAGAACACCCTCGCAAGCTCAGATCAGCGGGATTCGTTTTCCCTGGCACATGTCGCCATTCATTATTAGGAAACAGATTATTTATTTCTTTTACTCTGTTCGAGACAAAAACTGTCCAATCACCATGTTCTTTTAACCAGTATAAAGCTACCCTAGAGTCGCTCCAAAATATTGTTTTAATCTCACGGGCGTTTAATGCCTGCTTCACTGAATATGCCAACCTGGCACCAATGCAACAAGCCATTAATTCTAACCTAGGGATCGTTACTTTCTTCAAAGGTGCAACTCTGGTTTTTTGCTCTAACAAAGTAAATTTTTACCCCTTGAGAGGTTCTCGTTCTAAAAAAAAAAAAAAAAAAAAAAAAAAAAAAAAAAAAAAAAAAAAAAAAATACAGGTGGCATATGCCTCTTTGCACACATCTACGAAAACATGCATCTCAGTGGAATCATTTATTTCAACATAACGTGAGATTTCAATATCTCTTAATGTGTCTATTTCTCTAAACCATCTTTTAAAAGACATTTGAATATTATCTGGTAAGGGAGTACCCCACTTTAATTTAAATTCCACATTTCCAGCGAAAAAAGCTTAGGTGGTAAAATTGCAGGACTCAACAGAGCTATTGGATCAAATATTTTCTGAACTGTAGCTAAAATGATTCTCTTAGTAAAATTCTGATCTTCACTTACAAGATCAAAATTTAAATTACACTTAAGAGTGTCCTTATCAAGATCCCACAAAATTCCCAATACTTTCGTGTGACCATGCCGGGCCTTTCCACCAGCAGGATTATTAGAAACATATTTACATTTTACATTACTATTAGAAACTATTAGAAACTATTAGAAACATACTTTTACATTTTACATTACTCTCCCAGTTTCTTAAGTTAAAGTAACCCCGTGACAAAATATCTTTTGCATTTACAATAAA